GTGCTCCAAAAGCCAGGTGGAGCTGAGGCTCGGCCAGCACCTCCTGACCGGCTTCCCCTCTCTCTTCCTGGAGGAGTAAATCCTTATTCTGCCCATTCGTTAGACTGGACAATGAATAATGGAGCAAAAATTTCTTTTGACACCCCTGAATTTTTATATACCATTCAAGCACTCTACAACTTCTTTCCCACTTCTAATAAATGTTGGAATATGTTGAAAATACGGTTATCCCAAATAAATTTGAAACTATTCAATACACAAAGGGAAAGTTAATTTGGTGACATCAGACTGCTAAGAATTCAATTTGAGGTAACAATTGACACTCTTAGACATTGTTCAGGACATTAATAAAGATTTACACATTAGAACATAAGCCAGCATTACACCTTGAAAAATAGCTACTTTTAAATCGTGTTTTAAGTGAGATTAAGATGTTGAGCAAAATAAGGCAGGAACCAAATTCAATACACCTCATATCCTGACAAGCACCAAGAGGGAAGGGATAAAACAAGATCAGAGATAGGTAATAGCTGTTGAGTCTGGGCAGTAAGTACATTATTCTCTGTACATTTGCTTGTGTTTGAAAATTTCTACAATAAAGAGTTTTTAAAATAGGACCTTAATGGCTACCACAAAACAGCCTCAGTTTCCCCGTCTTTGAAGTAATTAATTACTTAATTACTAAAGTTTAATTGATAAAAAGTGATCACAGTTCAGGCGTGGTGGCTGACGTCTGTAATCCTAGCAGTCTGGGAGGCCGAGGCAGGAGGATCACTTGAGGTCAGGAGTTCAAGACCAGCCTGAGCAAGAGCGAGACCCCATCTCTGTTAAAAATAGAAAAATTAGCCGGGCGTCATGGTGTGCACCTGTAGTCCCAGCTACTCGGGAGGCTGAGGCAGAAGGATAGCTTGAGCCCAGGAGTTTGAGGTTGCTGTGAGCTAGGCTGACGCCACAGCACTCTAGCCCACGTGACAGAGCGAGACTCTGTCTCAAAAAAAAAAAAAATGATCACAAAAAAATAAAAGAATCTCTGGGTTCATAGGGAGCTCAGTGTTCATGTTGTATGGATGCAAGAGTCCCACCAAAATCCCTAGTAATGGTCACTGGGTCTTCACTTGATTACCTCCTGTAATGGAGAACTTCCCACCTGATACCACAAAGTTTCCAAAAGTACCTGAAATCTACCAGAGTCAAAATCATAGACACACACACACACACACACACACACACACACACACACACACTGACCAAGCTGGTCTGCCTACTCTGTAAGTCTTAATCCCGGAAACTGCGAACTGCTGTGAAGACCTCCAATGCCCACACCTTCCACAGGGACTTCAGAAAACCCAGCCTCCTCCCTGGCCAGACTCTACTCTCCAGAGGTCCTGAGTGTCCACGCAGCCCCCGTCTGGATAGCCCCCACCACAGGGAGCCTGGGACAGCAACAAGAGAATCCAGAAGAGTAATTTGGATGCAAAACAGGTTCTGAGAAGTGAGACCGGATGGGAAGGGCGGGGATTTGGCAAGATGAGAGAGCAAGGGAGTCTATGCCTGGTGAGTGTCCACAGTGGCTGGGTGTCTGCTGTCAAAGAAAACACAAAGTTAAACAAAGTTTAAACAGGCAAGGGAGACTTCAAGATGATTGCAGTAGGGAGAGGGACTGAACTCAACTCCACTGAAACAAAAGGCAGGAGGGTTTTTAAGTGCTGGGCGAGCTAATGGAAAAGTATCAGAGAATGAAGTGGCGGGGGGATTGGTCAAGGGGATGTGTCTGGCACATAGTTATTCCTGAGTTTGCTCTGTGATTGGGCCATCTGTGTTTGCTGATTGTTGATCACCCAAGTTAGGCTCTTGCCCTCCCAAGGACTGGGAGATAGTGGGCGCTGTCTCCCTTGATGATTTTGAAAAGATGACTTCCAGGTCCTTGAGAAAGACATTCCCAGGTTTTAAAGCTAGCAAGAGACCAGGAGAAGATTTATGTATATTTCAAAGGGGAGAGAAAGAATTTGCAATTACAGTTGGCTCTCTGTATCCACGGAGTCAACCAAACTTGGACCAAATGAGAGAATAAAAACTAACAATGCAACAACAAAAACAAAAAACAATACAAATAAAAAACAATATGGTGTAACAACTATTTACACAGCACATTGTATTACATGATATAAATAATCTAGAGATGATTTAAAGTATACGGGAGGATGTGCATCAGTTATATGCAAATACTACGCCATTTTATATCAGGGACTTAAGCATCTTGGGAGTGTGGTAACATTGGGGATCTTAGAACCAATCCCCCTCGGATACCAAGAGATAACTGTACAAGTTTTCTAAAGTAAGTGCTCTAAGAAAAGAGAGATCAGGGGCTTAGAGTCAGGAAGAAATCTGTCTAAAGCTGAGTCAAGCTGAGGGGACCGTTAAGGCCCTCTTGGTCACTGGCATTATGTCGTCTCTCTCCCACCCGTCCGGGGGTCTGTGATTCTAGGTGTCTGCACATGCCTGCTGCCCACCCTGCAAGGCCAGTGGATGGGTCTGATCACAGCAGGCAGCATCTCCAAGCAGCAAGAAGTGAGACCAGTCGGGAGGCGCTAGCCGGGGGGTCTCTGCCCCAGCCCCAGCCTCCTGCTGGGGCATCTGTCTGGACGTCCTCGTCACCTCAGCATCTGAGCGTCCACATAGGTCTGTCTGTGTCCTTGGGAGACAAGGTGACCCTCTGGTTGTCTTCTATGTCTCTATCTCCCTGATGTTTTTTAATTTCATTCATTTAATGAGCATTTGTTAAACACCATCCGTGGGCATGTTCTGTTCACTGGGGTGCCCCTCTTAACCTCTGGGTTTGTCTGTGTGTCTACAATCACATCTGTGTACCAGGTTGTGTCTGTCTTCCTGCATCTCACATGGAACCACCTCTCTGGAAACCACACCCCCCCACCGTTTCTATCTTGCGTCTCTCCTTCTGTCTGTCTTTCCCTTGGTGCCTCTCAGCTAGTCTGTCTATTGATTGATTCATTCATTCATTCATACAGTTATCTCAGACACCCCTGGAGGTCCCTGAGGAGTCATAGTCTGATGGGGGAGACAGACACCAGCCCAACCTAGTTTGATCAGGGCTGGGAGACGGGGAGGTGCTGGAGGCTGAAGATGGATGCTGAGCGGGGAGATGGGGGTCAGAGAGGCTGCCAGGAGGGGGTGATGGGTGTGTCCCTGCGTCCAGAGATTCATCCCAGGATTGGAAGCCATGGGGGTGGTGTGTGTTGGGGTGGGGGCAGAGAAGAGAAACAAAAAGGCCATTTGTGCCAACCTCAGACTTGAGCAGAGTGTGGGAAGGAGGATAGGAAGAGAGCCAGCAAAACACAAACCCCCCAAAATTAAGGGCTACAGGCTCCCAGCCCCTTCTTCCCTCAGACCAAGGATCCCTACAGCACCCAGGGCTCATCCTGGTCCCATCATGATTACCTAGGAGGAGACCAGCCCACGTGAGGGAGGGTGGGGTGGAGGAATACTGGCCTGGCTGGGTAGCCGGGATGCCTAGGGCTCGGCAGGAGAACCAGCCAGGCAGCAAATCAAAGCAGGAGGAGCTGTCCCAGGTGTCTCAGCTCAGCTCCGCGCTCTGGCATGGGGGTCCCCAGAGCCATTCTGCTCTGCCTCTTTGTGGCTGTGCTCTGCCTGACAGGTACCCAAACTTCCCAGTCCAGTAGTAAGAGGGGTGTGGGGCCTGGACCCCTGGGTCTGAGGGAGGAGGGGCTGGGGATCTGGACCCCTGTGTCTGAGGGAGGAGGGGCTGGGGATCTGGATCCCCGGGTCCTGGGAGAGGGAGGGGCTGGGGCTGGACCCCTGGGACGGAGGGAGGAGGGGCTGGGGCTGGACCCCTGGGTCTGAGGGAGGAGGGGCTGGGCCTGGACCCCTGGGTCTGAGGGAGGAGGGGCTGGGGCTGGACCCCTGGGTCTGAGGGAGGAGGGGCTGGGGCTGGACCCCTGGGTCTGAGGGAGGAGGGGCTGGGCCTGGACCCCTGGGTCTGAGGGAGGAGGGGCTGGGCCTGGACCCCTGGGTCTGAGGGAGGAGGGGCTGGGAGCCCAGACTCCCGAGTCTTGGTGGGGGAGGGCCTGGAGACCATGTCCTCTTCATTTCTCTTCCCCTCATCTATTCTTCCCCCATCAGTCATTTTCTCTGGCATCTCTCTTCCCGCCACTCCAGCACTTCTTATCCTCTTTGCCTGAGCCCCTATTCAAAGGTACTTCTGGGCCAGGCACAGTGGCTCATGCCTATAATCCTAGCACTTTGGGAGGCCAAGGTGGGAGGATCACTTGAGGTCAGGAGTTCAAGACCAGCCTGAGCAACACAGCGAGACCCCGTCTCTACATGAAATAGAAAAATTAGCTGGGCATTTTTGTGCATACACAGAATAATGCATTCAGGATATTCTGTGTATATCTGTTAGGTTTGCAGGAACCTGTGTATATTTTGTTGTGTTTATGTCAGTGTTTAAGTGTTCTGTGTGTGTGTCGCTGGGGCTGATGGGTATGTGCATTTACAGTACAAGATCGCACTTCACTCTGCCCGTACTGGAGCATGTCTCTCCGTCAGAGGTCTTTTAGTGTTCTGTAGACATTGTGAGTTCGGTGTGAGGAGGGATGGGCAGAGCAGAAGTGAATCACTTCCTCCTCCCTTATCTAAATCTCAGAGGGCTTCCTGGATGAGGGTGGAGATCTGGAACAGCCTGGAGGGAAAAACTGGGCTGGCAGCTGCTAAGAGGTCATTACTCTGCCACGAGACAGACATAGCCATGACCAGCTGCAATAGCAGACTGTAGTTCTCTCAAGGCCACAAGGCCTGCTTGCCTCAGAGCAGAGGGGCCTGGCCCATGTGGCCCTCCTGTGCAGGGTGGAGCCCTGAGTCCCAGGGACGGGCTCATGCTGTCCCTGCTGACCCTGCCCCTGCGCCTCTCCTCAGGGTCGGGAGCCCTGCAGTGTTACAGCTTTGAGCACACCTACTTCGGCCCCTTTGACCTCAGTGGCATGAAGCTGCCCAGCGTCTCCTGTCCCCTTGGATGCTTTGAGGCCGTCCTGTCCCTGGACACCGGTGAGGAGGAGTGGGGGAGAGGGACAGGGATGAGGGATTAGGGAAGGAGAGGAAGACAGACAAAGGGAGGGGAGTTTGGTAAAAGAGGAGAGAACGGATAAGGATAGAAAGATGGGGAGGTGTCGGAAGAGGGGAGGAGGGAGAGAGGAGAGAAAGAATGGATGAGGGAGTAGAGGTGGGGCGGGAGAGGACCACGAAGAAAGAGGAAGAGGAGGTGGGAGAGAGGAGGAAGAGAAGAATGGGGGGAGGGCGAGAGGAAGGAGGGAGGTGTGGGTGACAGCGAGAGGAGTAAAGGGAGGAGCGGGAGCATTGAGACTGGAGACCAAGCACAGCCCCCTCCCGCCCCCAGGGTATCGCGCTCCGGTGACCCTGGTGCGGAAGGGCTGCTGGACCGGCCCGCCCACCGGCGAGATGCAGGCCAACCAGGACGCGCTGCCGCCCGATTTCTCGGTGGTGCGCGGCTGCGCGACTGACTTTTGCAACGCCCACCTCGTGACCCACGACGCTATCCCCAACCTGAGCCCAGGTGCGCCAGAGGGCGGGGCTGGGCGCGGGGCGGAACACTAAGAAGCTGGGCCACGCCCCCAGGGAAGGGAGGGGCGTGGCCTCCACTGAGCGCCTGGACGGCTGCGCGCCGGGATTCCAGCCCCCTTCGCCGGCTAGGGCAGCGCCCAGGTGCAGTGCGCAACCCGCACCACTGCCCGGGTGCCATTACCTGAGTGTGCGTCTCCGCTCTTTTGCCAGCGCCCAACCCACAGACGCTGAGCGGCACCGAGTGCTACTCCTGCGTGGGGGTCCACCCGGAGGACTGCACCCCCGAGAAGTCCCGACGGGTCCAGTGTCACCAGGACCAGAGTGTCTGCTTCCAGGGCAATGGCAGAATGACAATCGGTGAGGGACTGGAAGGGTGGAAGGGCCTGAGCAAAGGATGTGGAGGCACCAGACAGGCCTGACAGGGAGGCATGGCCCTAGTCTGAGCGGGGAGGCATGGTCCTGGTTTAAGGAGGGAAACCCGAAGTAAGTCTGAGAACCAAGGCATGGCCCTGGCCTCCAAGGTAGAGGTTCAGGTGCAGCAACCTCCCTCAGTTCTGACCCCTCCTCCTCCCTCCCGCCCCAGGCAACTTCTCAGTCCCTGTGTACATCAGAACCTGCCACCGGCCGTCCTGCACCACCATGGGCACCACCAGCCCCTGGACAGACATCGACCTCCAGGGCTCCTGCTGTGATGGGCACTTCTGCAACAGGGACTCAGTGACCCAGACGTTCACCACCGCTTCGGCCACTGTCCCTCCCCTGGCGCCCCAGGTCATGGCGCTGCTCCTCCCGGTTCTTCTGCTGGTCGGGCTCTCTGCATAGACAGCCCCTCCAGGAGGCTGGGGGCAGGATGCATGCACGCCCTTCTCCTCCATGCTTCGGCCGCTATCATGTGGCTTACTGGAAAATGATGTCAAAACAAGAGTTGCACTCCTGTCCCTCTGGTCCTGCATCTCTCTCTTCCCGCTGCTTTCCAACCACCACCCTTCCCCCACCTAGTCTGCAGACCTGGAAGAAACTGGAAACGGCCACCAAGCATCCCAGGATAGAGAGAAATAGACACATCCTGCCCCATATGAAGAGCAATTCTGACAATAGCTGTCACTGAGCACCAGCCAGGCGTCAGGCAGCCCTCAACATGGCTTCCTGGGCTCTCCCTCCGGAGCCTCGTCACAGCCAGAGTGGTGGCTTTATTGGTATAGCATCATTAGAGGCACAAGAAGCAGTGTATGGTAACAGAAACCCAGACTCTGGAGCTGGGCTTCATGGACTTTAATCCCAGCTCTCCTAGTCAGCCTGTAGGTGACCATGGGCAAGTTCTTTAAGCTCTCTCTGCCTGTGTTTCCTCACCTAAAAGATGGAGATGAAAATAAACTCTATAACAAGACCTGTTTCACAGCGGTTGTGGTGAGGATTTAATGAGATGAACATATGGTACCTGGGACACAGCAGTCGCCCAGTGTAAGTGAAGGCAAAGCTGAGTCAGGTGAAATTCTCCAACCTGTGGAAGTCAGGGAAGACTTCCTGGAGGAAGTAAACCTTGAGCAAAGTCCTAAAGAATAAATAAGAATTGGCAAAAAGAAGTAGGAGGAAGGGCATTCTAGGTAGACGAGGTAGGAAGATGGGGCATGCAGGACACTTACATGAGCACATGAACTTCATATAAATGGACTCCTATGGCATGGCCTCTGTGCACATGGTCACAATGTTCCTTCACATCCTTTCTGCCACTTGACCTTCCCAACAACCCAGTAGGACGAGCAAAGGAGTGAGTTGCATCCTGCTATGGTCTGAATGTTCGTGTCCCCTCAAAATTCATAGTTTGAAACCTAATCACCAAGGTGATGGTGCTAGGGGGTGGGGCTTTTAGGAGGTGATAAGGCCATGAGGGCAGAGCCCTCATAAGTGAGATGGATGCCCTTATACGAGAGGCCCCAGAGGGCTGCCTTGCCCTCCCACCATGTGAGTACACAGCTAGCAGGTGCCATCTATAAACCAGAAAGCCAGTCCTCACCAGACATCGAATCTGCTGGTGCCTTGACTGGACTTCCCAGCCTCCAGAACTGTGAGAAATAAATGTCTGTTGTTTACAAGCCACCCAGACTATGGTGTTTTGTTGTAGCAGCCTGAAGGCACTAAGCTATCCCCATGGTGCAGACAAAATTCCCAAGGCACGATGAGAGAGTGATTTTCAGAGTAAGTGCATAGCAAGAACAGACCCCACGTCTTCTAACTCTACCTCGGCAGGCAGCCTTGTGGAGAAGGGAGCAATTTGGAAACGCTCCTTCACTCCCGAAAGGCCAAGGGGACAAGGGCTCCAGGACATGACACCCTGACATACAAGGGGAAACTGGATGACTTCATTCATTCATTCCGCACATTTACTAAGCACCTACTATATTCCAGGCTCTGTTCCAGTTGCTGGACCTACAGCAGTGAACAAAAAAGGCAAAAATTCTCACCTTCAAGGAGCTGACCTTTCTAGTGGGGGAAACAGACTTTGGATTTTATTGCAAATGTGATCTGAAGCTGGGATGGTCAGTTTGATGTGTCAACTTATCTAGGCAACAGTCCCAGTTATTCAGTCAAGCACCAATCAGTGCGTTACTGCAAGGGTGTTTTGGAGTTGTGATTAAAGTAAATAATCAGTTGACTTTGAGGAAGGGAGCTTGTTCTAGATAATGTGGGGGGGCCTGGCTCAATCAGTTGAAAGGCCTTAAGAGCACAGCTGAGGCTTCCCCGAGGAAGAAGAAATTCCACCTGTGGACGGTAGTGTGGCCCCAAGCCTGAGATTCCAGCCTGCCCTTCCTGACTTGCCTAACCAGCCCCCATAATCACAGGAGCCAATTCCTTGCAATAAATCTCATAATGTAGATCCGCTGCTGGTTCCATTTCTCCGGTTGATCCCAGACTCACACGGAATCCAGTGGAGGATGTACCATAACAGGCAGCCATGATCATATATCTATGATTATATGTACATATGATTCTATATAATATATATCATATGTACATAAGATAACTATATGTTGTATATAATAATATTTTCATTGAGGTGTAAAATGCATAAAATACATAAAGTGTAATTTTTCCTTATGTATTTATACCTGAGTAACCTCCACCCAGCTCAAGATACCAAACATCTCCAGCCCACGCTCCCCATCCTCCCTTATACCCCTTCACGGTCTCTTTCCCACCCCGGGGGTAACCATCACTCCGATTTCTACCATAGATCAATTTTGCCTATTTTTGAACTTCATATGAATGGAGTCCCGCAGCGTGTACTCTTGTGTACATCTTTAATATTTTACAAGGATCCCTGTGGCAAAAATGGAAGCGGAGACCCGTGAGGTGGCTGTGGCCCCAGTCTCCAGGCAAGCAACGATGGGGGTGGCAGCTGGGGCAGTGCCAGGGGTCAGATGAGGGACAGACTTTGTTAGCAGAGCTGACAGGACTTGCTGATACCTTGGTTCAGAGGTGTGAAAGAAAGAAAAGACTCAAGAAAACGCCAAGGCTTCAGTCTGAGGAACAGGATGAATGGTGGGGCCAGTTACCAGACAGAGGGACAGATGCGAGGGGGTGAGAACAGCCGAGTGGTGAACATGGCAAGTTTGATTCAGCTTAAACTGAGAGCATTTCAGTTTGCACGAGTGCCCTTCATCAGGACGCAACATACTGCACAAAATACAGAACATCTCCAAAGGCGACAGACTTTGGAAACCTGTTTGACAGTTTCTTTTAAAGTTAAACACACAGTTACCATACGGCCCGGCAATCCGACTCCTAGATATTTACTCAAACAAAGATGCACACACGAATGTTCACAGCAGCTTAATTTATAATTGCTACAACACTGGAAACATCCCAAACATCCACGAACTGGAAAATGGTAAACAAACTGTGGTCCGTCCGTACAATGGAATACTACTCAGCAAGAAAAAGGAACAAGATACTACACATGCAACAACCTGAATGCATCGCAAAAGCATCATGCTAGGCCAGGCGCGGTGGCTCACGCCTGTAATCCTAGCACTCTGGGAGGCTGAGGCGGGTGGATCGTTTGAGCTCAGGAGTTCGAGACCAGCCTGAGCAAGAG